CAAGACACTACAGTATATGGAAATTACCTGGGTTGACTGCGGGCTGTTGATAGGTCGCACGCCTTCCGCCTGCACAATCTCGACGTAGTTGCGCATCTCTCTTGCAGTAAGACGATTCGCAGGCCGGTCGCTAAGGCTACCAGTGATAAGGGAGCGAAGCGGATGGCGGCGCGGCATGCGCTGAAGATCCGCGTTGCGTCCGTCACGCTCCAATGTGTACATGTCGGGCGGATCCCGACGCACGACCATGGCCAGCACGCACACGCCGAGCGAGTAGCAATCCGATTCGAAGCCAGACGAGGCGGCACCTGCAGCGCTGCTGGCCGAGTCCGTAGATCCACGACCGGCACTGGCACCACCACCACTGCCTAGGCTCTCGGGTGGCATGAAGGGAGCACGACTGCTGGGCTGGTCGGACAGTGCATCGCTGTTCACGTGATAGCATGTCGTGCTGCCAATGTCCGTGAGCTTGACGATGAACTGCTCGGACTCCACGCCGCTCAACAGGATATTGTCGGCGGTGATGTTGCAATGCGCTATGCCCTGCGCGTGCAAATACTCCAGGCCGGACGCCGCTTGAAGGACAACCCGCTGCTCGTGTACAAGGCTCAGGTAGGGCTCCGCACTCCAACGCTTCCTCAGCGGCATGTCCATCTTATCCAGCACCAGCCCGGGGCTGACATGACCAGCGGACGGCTGTGCGATACCCATCAGCTGAATAACATGGGGATGACGAACAGGGCACAGCTCTGCCACGGCCTTGCACAGGCGACGGTAGCGCATTGCAAGCTGGCCAGAGTCGCTGTGAAGTCGACCGGCTGGCAAGCGCTTGATGGCCACCTCTGCACCGTTGACCTTGCCCAGGTAAACCTTGGTCCCGAGCGCGCCCTGGCCAAGAATCCCGTCCGACTGATAAACATCAGTGAGAATGCACTGCTTTTCCTGGGCGGATAACTCCATTATTATTATTATTATTATTACGTTGTGCGCGCACACACACACACACACAATCACGAGACACACGCAATCACGACACAGAAGGATGGCAAACAACGTGCTGTGCGACGGCAAAGAAGGCGGACGAAATAATCAGAGGCGCGCGATAAAACACCAGTTAGCCTGATCCAAGCTGTGAAAAGTCGATAGGATCCACCAGTCTTTCCATCCACAATCAAATACAACTACCGGCACGTCATTTGGCAAGATGTCGTTCGGCAGCTTTCGTCGCTAGCGCAGGTTCAGAAATCTCCTTTTTCTTGGCTCTGTTTCCTAGTTCATCAGCGCAGGTGACGGTAGCAGCGCCACGCATCATACTCAGCAGTACAAGCAAAGGAGAAACTGGGACACCCCAGGCCCTGCTCGCCGTGGCATTGCAGGCCAAGCAAAGTGCAATATTCCTGTGTGCTCGTGTCAGGAAAAGAACAAAATAACTCCTGCGACAGGAAAAAAAGAGTGATTGGGTGAAGTAAAGCGCCTCCGTTTGCAGTTTGTGTAGCCGCTGCCGGCGCTGGCCTGTTGGCTTTGGACATGACATGTCCATTGTAGATCTACACATGATAGCATAACTCGTGATCAAAGAGTCGTCAGTCGAGCAGAGACTGTCTGTAGTCGAGTCTAGTCGTAGATCTACAAACCATCCCTGTCCTTGTCCTATCATCATGTGGATGGTTCATGTACGATCTACAGCGCACCGGGCTAGGGCTGTGCAGCTAGTACAAAGTCATGTTGATCTACACTGACTACAGCACCTAGTCTGTTGTAGGCCTAGTACAGCGGTACCTGCATACACACTAACACAGGCTGCAGTTTGTGCATACTAGTACTAGTAGTAGCTTTGTAGTCCCGTTCGTGAACTGGTTCGTGTCGAAACATGCAGAGCGCTAGAGGGGAATCCCCCACGGATCGAGATACCTCCCCTCAACGCAAGCTATAGGCCTACTTGTATACTAGGTTTGGCACTTACGTCATCCTGAAGAGTGAAGCTTCGAATCGCGAAGGCAGCTCACAAAGACACATAATTATACATGCACAAGCGTCAAGCGCGCGCAGCTCACTGAGCTCATTTTTCAAACAATACAAGTAAAAATGTAAATAGGCGTCGAGGCGACAATAGTTTTAGAATTGCGATCAACAGAACGAGCTGAACCGACATTTCAAAAAGGCTTTTATTGTTTTCAAAAAACGAGTGGATACGAAGGCAGTGAAGAACATGGAAGAAAGAAAAAATGTGATATGGAAAAAAATGATGAACAAAAAATTTGTACTTCGAACTAGTTTTCGCACAACACTCCTCAGTAAGCTACGTTGTACTAATGAAAAACAATCCAGAAAGATACTAATAAAGAGAAATGGAGTGAGAAGAAACAACACCTATGAAAATGATAATCCTAGCACTAAGGTAATAACAGGAAAAACTGCGAAAGCACTTAACGAACTTGTAAGGACTACGTCTACTAGTATACTGTGACACAAGATATGACACCATGGCCAACCAGAGCCAAACAGACAGAACAAGCTGCCACTAAAACAATTTCAAACGAATAATGCTGTCCTTCTGGACACACAGATTAGGCTTATGAATACGTTGACAAACAGCTTCTAACACACTCAACTGCAACTTATAACCATGACGAGCACGGCACAAAACAGAAAAAAGAAGAATCAGAATACACCTTGCAACAATCAGGACGAGATGCAAGATGCTTATACACTGATGACTTCCTACTAGAAAACACACGCTCGCACCCACTCTTACTCACACAATCATTCTCGCTCTCACACTCACCGGAATCACTGGACTCACTGGCCGAATCCTCCTCAACGACGTCCTGCCTCGGAGCAATCAGGTCCCGTCTCCTCCCATCCCTCGTCTCACGTTCCTGTTGTGTATTACGTTGGCTCGGTACTTCCGTAATGAAATAGGTCATGGTGTAATTAGCAGTTGTTCTTCTGGGTCTCGTTGATATTGAGGTAGGTATTTTTGAGGTAGGTATTTTTTTCACCAAAAACGGATACCCAGGCGACATGTTGGCAAAACTGTTGTCTACAGCCCCCACGCGGAAACATGAATTGATAGGGCCTGCTCGTTGTCCTGTCTTTTTGTGCTTACCATGGAAGGGCAAGAAGTCTGACAATGTGAGTCGTGAAGTTCGTGCGATCATCAAACAAACCTACTATGCGGTACACTTCATACCCGTCTACACAACGATGCGTTCGTTCACGGTGTTGAAGGACGTCCTACCAACCCATCATTTAAGTCATGTAATCTACAACTTTGAATGCCGGAATTGTGCTAGCCGGTATGTTGGTAGGACTGTTCAGCACCTGAGCGAACGCATCAAGCAACACACTCCTTTACACATTATCCCACGTAGCGCACAACTGGAGCGTCCCACGCGGGGAAGACCCCGTAAACAACCACTACCTCCGCCAACACAGGACCTAGCGTCCCACTCGGCAAGTCCACCATTGGCTCCCGTGGCCATGACCAAGTCACTCCCTCCACCAGCGGAGGTGGATGTGGCTTCGGCGACGCCACGTGTGTTGCATGCAGACACGTTTGCATCAGCATCGCTTGCTGCATCACCGGCAGAGACGACAAAAATACCTACCTCAATATCAACGAGACCCAGAAGAACAACTGCTAATTACACCATGACCTATTTCATTACGGAAGTACCGAGCCAACGTAATACACAACAGGAACGTGAGACGAGGGATGGGAGGAGACGGGACCTGATTGCTCCGAGGCAAGACGTCGTTGAGGAGGATTCGGCCAGTGAGTCCAGTGATTCCGGTGAGTGTGAGAGCGAGAATGATTGTGTGAGTAAGAGTGGGTGCGAGCGTGTGTTTTCTAGTAGGAAGTCATCAGTGTATAAGCATCTTGCATCTCGTCCTGATTGTTGCAAGGTGTATTCTGATTCTTCTTTTTTCTGTTTTGTGCCGTGCTCGTCATGGTTATAAGTTGCAGTTGAGTGTGTTAGAAGCTGTTTGTCAACGTATTCATAAGCCTAATCTGTGTGTCCAGAAGGACAGCATTATTCGTTTGAAATTGTTTTAGTGGCAGCTTGTTCTGTCTGTTTGGCTCTGGTTGGCCATGGTGTCATATCTTGTGTCACAGTATACTAGTAGACGTAGTCCTTACAAGTTCGTTAAGTGCTTTCGCAGTTTTTCCTGTTATTACCTTAGTGCTAGGATTATCATTTTCATAGGTGTTGTTTCTTCTCACTCCATTTCTCTTTATTAGTATCTTTCTGGATTGTTTTTCATTAGTACAACGTAGCTTACTGAGGAGTGTTGTGCGAAAACTAGTTCGAAGTACAAATTTTTTGTTCATCATTTTTTTCCATATCACATTTTTTCTTTCTTCCATGTTCTTCACTGCCTTCGTATCCACTCGTTTTTTGAAAACAATAAAAGCCTTTGTGAAATGTCGGTTCAGCTCGTTCTGTTGATCGCAATTCTAAAACAAGTAATAATAAGGCCAAACTAAAGAAGGTGTGTGGTTCGACTAACATGGACATTTTTTTTACGGGCGGGCGGGCGGATTTTTTTTTTTAATATATATTTTTTAGTACATGTAAATACACTGTATACGCGTACCGAGTAGACTCTACTACCAGCACAAGGCAGCAGTCGTACCACTCACTGCACTGCACTGCAGTACAACTACAAGTCAAGTCCAAAAGGAGCCGCCTGCGTCCGCAGACTCACGCCGCACAGCACGTAGACGTGGACGTGTTCAGTCCACGTACGTCAGTCACACGACAGCCCGCCGAAAAAAAGTTACGGTCGGGCTGAAATTGTACGGTCGGTCGGGTGAGTCGAACCACACACCTTCTTTAGTTTGGCCTAATAATATTAGTTTACAACACTGCACCGAGACAGTACAGAAGAGTGCCACCCGCATCCCGAGTCGTGATTCTCTAGTCTAGACCACGTGTACTGTAACTTTCGCTAGGGACTAAATAATTTCGCTATTTTCGCGACCACCACACATTCGAAATGTCAAGAACTCTTCCTCTCCTCTCCTCCATGCGCTCTCACAGCCGACTCACTGCTACCCTAGTTACTGTACAGTGTGTGAGGGACTGAGGGAGAGTTCTTGACATTTTATTGGCCGAATACATGTAGTACCGTTCACCATATTTTCGAGATTACCACACATTCGCGAATATAAATCGCCGCAAACCTCTCCGTATATTGACTGTAGACAGTACAAAATCCGACTGAAGAGATTGAATCGCAAAAGTTTCTCATCTTAAATCGGCCCAATCTATGAAAACGCTAAATTTGCGCTCCGCGAAAGTAACTCGTTAGTTTGTCGCTTTACAGTCGTGTACTGGACATGCCTCACTCACGCTCAAATCGATCTGCACCACATACTATTGTGTACGTGTATCAGCGACATGAAAAAGAAAAGAGAAGGCACTATGAGGAGCGGGTGAGGCAGGTTGATCAAGCCTCCTTTGTTCCGGCGGTCATGTCAGCCAGTGGCGGAATGGGTCCAGCATCAACAGCACTGTATAAACGAATTGCTCATCTGTTGGCTGAGAAGAGGGGTGAGCATTACTCTCATGTTATGGCATTTGTTAGATGCAGGATTTCCTTCAGCCTTCTGAAATCCTGTATCATGTGCATTCGCGGTTGTAGGCGTTTAAATTTTGGTTTGAAATTTGCACCCTCCTGCGGAGCCCACGCTGCTTTGGCAGTGGCGGAGGCTCGCTTGCCGACGTAACCGTCGGAGATCATCATGAACAATGGACTGACTAATTATTCACTTGTCCTGTCTTTCTAAATAACATGTTATTGCACATATTCTTGGTTATCTACAAACAAAAAAAAACAAAAAACTGGACATGTCTACTAAGTACAGTGCTGGCAACTGAAATCCGACCCCCCTGGGCGGTGCGTTCACTTTATAGCGGCCTCTATTTCGTAGTGTCACCATGTGAGCGCACTGCTCAGGTGGTCGGATTTCAGTTGCCAGGACTGTACATGACGTACTAAGTCTTACTACTTCGCGGTACATGACTAATATTACTATTATACAGCATTGCATACCTGCCATGAGAAAAAATGTAGTGAATAACCACACAACCCCGAATAGTCCCCGTCTCCTGGTGATTGCTTTTCAGCATGAAACTCGTGAGTAGAGAATCACCTTTTGTTCGACCGGATTTTCGTTTGTAGTACAGTCATGTACATTGTACGAGGTATGAGGGAGCGTACAATCATGCATAACGTTACCTGCATCATCAATTCATCATGATCATGACATGGGCAGTGCACAGCCAGAATGGTCACGTGTAGAAAACAACGCAATGGATCACCGTGAGCCAGGCAGCCATAGTGGCATGGCACCAAGACATAGTCTCATAGTCATAGGCTACCAAGACACACATGCATGCCATGTTGAATAGGAACAATGCATGCAGATGTCATACATGCACAATCGAGACACACATGCATGCCATGTTGAATAGGAACAATGCATGCAGATGTCATACATGCACATGCACTTCACAAAATGAAGTAGATGAAACCATGGCAGAAGCATTTTAACGACGGGCCAACATAAAATTTATTATTTGGATCTACAGCTACGAGCAAGGTAAAAATCTATACAGCTGTGAGCAAGGTAGATATGTTCACCTCTCAGCAAGGCAGGGGTGTTCAGCTTCGTCACGACACAGAGTTTGTGGCCAGTGAAAGAAAGTCAACAGAGAACAACCACGGAACAAGTGCATTCTCTGGCTAAGGTTGGAGCAGAATATGTCCAAAGAAGAGGTGTTGTTTTATGTTCTGATCTGGTCTGTCCTTGCTTGATATTGTCCTGTAAATTGATGTCCGCCTCCATTAGATTGGATTGGCCAGCATGGGCTCCTACACAATAATACAATCAGGAGGTATGCACGCACACGCACACACACACACACACACACACACACACACACACACACACACATGCACACACACACACACACACACACACACACACACACGCACACACGCACACACACACACACACACATACACACACACACATACACACACACACACACACAGACACACGCACACACACACACACACACAGACACACAGACACACACACACACACACACGCACACACACACACACACACACACACAGACACATGCACACACACACACACACACACACACACACACACACACACACACACACGCACACACACGCACACACACTGCTGAGTTATTACTTTTTCAAAGTACTTGAAGAAGCACAAGAACTCCAAATTCGGTCATTGCAAATAATCCGACTGCACTACTGAGAAAACGAGCCAGTGCAATTGGGCACTTTGAGATCACTAGAAGTGCTATCGCGGTGGTCATGTGATGAACAAAATCAAACAAAATCCGCCAGAGAGCGCATGTGAGGTGAATTTATCAAATTTGTGAACTCTATAGGAGAGAGGCATGCCTATATGGAGACGGTGCTCTTTAATTTCAAGCTCACTTT